GTTTTATTTTTTTTAATTCTCTATAAAAATCTGTTTTGTGGATCAATTAATGTTTGCACGATTTATTAGGTTTATAAAATTGTTATTTTCTAGTAACTTGGTCAATCAGTCTTATAGTTAAAAGTTCACGAATAATAGTTTTTTTTTATGTGGAGAGATAGCTAATTTATTATTATAAGTGCTTATCAATATATCGAAAAACGGAATTTTATAACTATTATTAAGTCCGTATGCAAATTTAAAGACAGAATTATTTTGGAATTGTTTTGGAGTTGATATATTTAATCCATATTCTTAAGATACGGATATCATCAACATATCTTAGATAAATGGAGGGAGTTTTGAAATTATTAAATATGTTATATTCGAGACTAGACATATAGAAATTATCAAAAGTTGGACCCAGGTCTGAAACCATGGAAACACCATCCCGTTGTACGTATATAATTTTATGATTATTATTTTTTTTTTTTTTTAGTCGTGAAGATGACATTGTGCTAATGTCGAAAGTAATAAGGATACTAAGAAACACATCCGTAAAAGTGAGAGGATCCCATTAAGAACAAGTAGACAAAACTTGTTTAAATGGTTTAATGAGACATGTCTTAATGAAAACATGCTGGCAAAATATACATATATTTCACAGAAAAAGGTTCGAATCCTGTCGGAGGACGAATATTTTCTGTGAAAGTTTCTCGGACATTCAGACTGGTAAATGTTGTTTAATACTGTTTATTATAAACAGAGCATTTACTTAAATATTTGTATCTATAAAAAGAATGTATAAACATAAAATGTCTTAATATATATATATATATATATATATATATATATATATATATATATATATATATATGCACAAAATTGTTTTGGTTAAAATAAACCTCATCTTAGTCTCGACAAAGCCTTTCCAGTATCGCCCCATGTACAGACATATACACAAACACAAATATATATATATATATATATATATATATATATATATATATATATATATATATATATATATATATATATATATATATATACATATATATATATATATATATATATATATATATATATATTCGTACAGCCGTATCGTAAAAATACATTCTTCCGGGTGACCGCACGCTTTTTATTCCATCGAATCTTACGAATCTTAAGGCGCCAGACACGACTTTCTCGCGCATGCGCACCATTTTTTTTTCAGGCGTGTCCCCACGTCCTTTTTAACCGCCATTCACAACCAAGTAAAAAGAGCATAGAATTAAACTGTATGTGTCTCTAAAGTACACAGACATAACCCCGTACCCCACAAGACACAGAAACTATGAGTAAGTGAAAAAAAAAAGAGAAAAAAAAGGAACTTTTAACGATATTCCGTACAGATGCACTCAATTCTGTCTCGTCGAATCCGTCTATTATGTCTTTAAGGGACAAAGGTCGATTTGTGTTTGTGCGTCACCGCGCACACAGGAATCGACGAATACAGCGACATGATCACACAAAACCGGACTAGAGAGGGTAAAGAGTGAAAACGTGAAGGTGTATCTCTACAAAATGTTCAGATATGCGAGGAAATATTTAAATATACATTTATAGCTACTTTGGCATAAAAGTTCAGAATAAATCTGCAATTTTGATTTCACTGATTACACCGCTTGCATCTAAAATACAATTCTATCCGCGATATCACTATTTACGAAAATTTTCAATTTTACACACACACACACACACACACACACACACACACACACACACACACACACACACACACACACACATATATATATATTTCATTAAATAATATAGACAAGTTTTGTCGATTTATTTTAAGTAAATTCCTTTCATATTGTCTGATAAGCTTAATAACATTATCACTGAAAGATGAAAGAAAAACACCATATTGATACATGGTTTTTAATCCTTGTATCTCCAACGGATTAAATAAGTTTTATGTCGGTCACTCGCTTTCACGACAACTGGCTCTACATTTGAATGATAACTCTAACATTTTTAGGCATTTAAAACAACAAGCCTGGCCGCCTACACAATTCCAGAAAATCCTCGTTGAAAACACAACTATGCTTAAACATGAAAACAATAAACAAAAACTAAAAATTCTTGAAGCTATATACATAAAACAGATGAAACCTAACCTGAACAAAATAAACTAAAGAAATTTTCACAAATATTCTTAAATGCCTCTAATTGATAACAGAAGCCATTGATTTATAGCAACTGCTTCCCATACTTAATACTTCTCGTTTTCACTCGTTTTGTGTGTGCGTGTACATATATATTATATAACAAAGTAGAAAATGTTTTCGTGGGACTCGTTTCGTCCCTTAGGAGTTCATGTAACTAAAGTGTTGTTTCAAATAATAATTTCACCTATATCTATCTATCTATCTATCTATCTATCTATCTATCTATCTCTATATCTATATATCTATATCTATATCTATCTATCTATCTATCTATCTATCTATATATATATATATATATATATATATATGTAAAAGACAATAGGAAAACTGTAATAGTAGCCGACGCGTTTCGTCCAATGTAGACTTTCTCAAGGCAAAAACGAAATGAATTTATTAAACAAAGTAACAAGTTTTCAATGTCTACGTTTTGTTTCTATTTCGATTTCCAAGTCTTTATACTTCTATAGTTTTGTCAAATCTCTCGGTTACAGTCCGTTGGGAAAGCCATATCAATATTTGAAGGAGTGATGCTAGAGCTGTGAAACCTTGCATGCATTAATTTCAACTCTTCTTCTTAATAACTGTATTGTTTCTTTCCAGATACGAGGGTGGGCTGAACAGTTCATAGGCTGATTATAAAGAACTAATGCTAGTGCTGAGAAATTTTACATGCGTCAAATTCAATTTTTCTCAATGATAACTGCATGTTTTTGTTTTTTTTTTCATATAAGTGTAGGTCGAAAAGTTCATAGTCTAACTACGAACGAGTGATGATAGACTTCTGAATTTTGGCATGCGATAATTCCAACTCTCCTTATTAGTAATTGCATTGTTTCTTTATGAAAAACGATTACTCAAAAAGTATTTCATCGGACTGAATTTCTTATGTACGTGCACCTACACATGAGCATGAACGAGGGATGCTGGATATATTAATTTTTTTAAAATCTAGCCGATTTCATATTAAAAAATTAATATTCCCAGCATCCCCTCATTCGTGTATATATATATATATATATATATATATATATATATATATATATATATATAGAGAGAGAGAGAGAGATAGGGTTGTCCATAAAGTTCGTGTGCACTTTAGAGTTATAAATTACTTAAAGTGCACAAAACTTTATGGACACCCTGTATATTAGGCACACAAAAAAAAATCGGGATGCCAACTAACCCAAAAACTATCAGATCTGTAATATAACGTATGAGGAAAGACATTCCTTGTAAAAGAAAGTTCCGTTTCCTTTTTCGTTTTTCTTATTATTTCCCGTCTCGTTGATAAAGGACACAGGCGCGTCCGAAAATTCCGATTTTTAGAGTCTTTCTCATCATTCTTCTATTTGATCAATAAGCATATTAATATGCAATAAATACATATGATAAGCAGCATACATGTCTTTTCTTTTTACTTATATACATATATATATATATATATATATATATATATATATATATATATATATATATATATATATATACAAGTATATGATTGGTGTATACGGAATAAATTCCAATAACCAATAATTACTATTCTTAAAAAGTGCTCAATACATTGTAGAGAGAATATAATTATTTATTTAAAAATTATAACATAAATATGTTATAAAATCACTACAAAAATAGCCATTTTGTTTCAACGCTTCTAGCGTCTTTGTTTTCAACACCTCTAGCGTCTTGATGGTGTTTAATGTAGATTGTAGAACCTACAATCTACATTCAACATCATCTTGATAAGACGCCAGAGGTGTTGAAAAAACATGGCTATTTTTGTAGTGATTTTATAACATATTTATACTATAATTTTTAAATGAATAATTTATATATATATATATATATATATATATATATATATATATATATTTTATTTTTCCCAAAAAGAACTACTGGATATTTTCACATCAACGAAAATATATATGTCGATTGACACACTAAGATCAACTTGTCGCCATTGACTTTTTTTCCCCGAGCCCCTGTTTGCGTCACCATCAGTCGAAATCTGAGATTCGTTCCAAAGGAGGTTATGGTTCATATAAGTGTGCGAAAACGTTATCACAATCGGGTAAAGGAAGAAAAAAAGAAAGCGCGCAACGTCGATAGACTGGGTTCCTTCATGATTGCGTTTGTGTTCATTAAAGGATATTGGCTCGAATATATCTGCCTGTACCCCGGGGTATGTAAGGCCTGTACCCCGGGGTATGTAAGGCTCGGCTGTTGAGGTTGAATTGTGCAATGTAGCATGACCAATGAGCGTACTTAAAAGAGTGTTCTGTGTAAATGAGTAAGCTGAAGTAGATTCGAAGTAATATTATTTCAATATCAGTGTCCCGAGCAATTGAATAAGTACAAAATGAAACAGATCCCGACAGACTCACACAGGGAAACACACATACACACAGACACACAGAAACACACACATACAGCCAGAAGCACACACACACACACACACACACACACACACACACACACACACACACACACAACACACACAAAGAGGTACACGCACATTTCTACACATAGGGGCCAACGCACACTTCCACACACGTGTACGCACAAAGTTACGGCCGCACACACTTGCACACTTCCACGCGCACAAACCCGCAGCTGTATACACACCCACATACATACTCTCACACACATACGCACACACACATCCACAAACATGCAATGGCACATGCACATCCCCAATACAAACGCACTCTCATACACACAGACACAAACACGAATCTTTGACAGACTTTCACATGCACGCACACACACTGACACACACGAAAGCACAAACACTTTTACCTACAGAAATAAAACACACAAAAACACACACCTATTTATATAAATATGTAATCAGTATTACTGTGACCAAAAATACAAATTCTGATGTTAGGTAGTGAAGTGAGGCGAAAATTTCTCAGCAGCCCCACCACCTATATATATATATATATATATATATATTGTAAAAGTTTCATTGAAGTCGACACTGCGATTATGCATTTATATATTTCTTACATTTGCACAAGATATTTGTTTTTTGGAAACATAGAGTGTGTAAGAAAAAATCTACATCTCCAGATAAATCAAAAACACCACTCATATTGTTTAACAGATTAGCCTCAAGATCTGGAATCCAGACCTTATTCAGACAGTTCTACAGACACTAAAAAAAAAAAAAAGAAATCTCTTGTACACATATAAGAACAATACAATAAAAAGTTTAATCGTAGTGCCTTGTCATTCACATCCAATGAAACCTAAGGATAGGAAATTCTGCCCAAATATATATATATATATATATATATATATATATATATATATATATATATTGATGCATGTTTCATTAAATAAGTTTTGTCTATTTATGTTAAGTGAATTCTTTCATAATATCTGATAGCTTAATAACATTATCATTGAAAGACGAAAGAAAATCACCATATTGATACATGTTTTTTAATCCTATCCAAGTTTTCGGCTTATATAAGCCATTATCAAAGATGACAATTACATTACAATATATTAAACAATACACGGACAAAACAATAATGATAGTCTGTTTTTGTTGTATGAAAAATTTCCAAGCAACGACAAACTCGTGTATACTAGACGTGGAATCGAAAATCGCACTGCAGCTTGTGACGTCACACATAGCGACGCGAGGGTGAAAACGAGAAGTATTAAGTATGGGAAGCCGTTAGTATAAACCAATGGCTTCTGTTATCAATTATTCTGAATTTCATGAACAAAGCAATCATCAGATATGTCGAAAACGATTCAGCTGTTCTACCGGTAATATATACATTAATAAAAATATATATATATATATATATATATATATATATGTTTAAGCATGTTCACTGAGCTGATTGATGTTATATTAAGCACCTGTACTCAGGAGTTTCGCAAAATAATCTTTTTGAAATTGTTCGGTCCACTTTACAGGAGATATCAGTAAATCTCTGTCAATTTTTTCGTTATATATATATACATATGTATTTTATTAAAGACATTTTTTATGTTTAACGTTCTTCTTATAGATACAAGTATTTAAGTAAATGCTCTATTTATAATAAACAGTATTAAATAACATTTACCGGTTGAATGTCCGAGAAATTTTCATAGAAAATATTCGTCCTTTGACAGGATTCGAACCACATCCTATACGGAACCGTCATTTACGCACGTGCCTTACAATCGTCAAAGGATCCATCGAATTTACTGCTTATAAACTTTGTGGCCGATTGGTAAGGCACGTCAGCGTAAATGACGGTTCCGTATAGGATGTAGGTTCGAATCCTGTCAAAGGACGAATATTTTCTATGAAAATTTCTCGACATTCAGGCCGGTAAATGTTATTTAATACTGTTTATTATAAACAGAGCATTTACTTAAATATTTGTATCTATAAAAGAACGTTAAACATGAAAAATGTTTTTAATAAAATAAATTGTCGGATATTGTCCATTTTTATATATATATATATATATATATATATATATATATATATATATATATATATATATATATATATATATTATGTTAAACACACCTATTCAATAGTTAATAGACTCTCCCATCTAATATAAGTAGTAGTAAGAGAAACGAGGGTTAGTCGATGTCGGACGACAGTTAGTCGAATACGTAAGTAGTCAGCGACCACAAGAAGATTACTCTGCGTAATACCTATTATATCAAGTTCCTAACATTTTGGTACGTTGAACTATTTAGGACCGATTTAGTACAAATACAAGCCTCCACTGCGAAATAACTCCACAACAACTTTGGCGACGAGGATTCGCACTCATACGTGGGAAGAAAAAATTCGCTCGTCACAATAACTTCGGCGACAAAATCTCGGATTCACACTAAAAAAAAAAAAAAAAAAATTGGCAAAGTTTTCGCAAGCCAAGACGTCAACATAGTGACGAAAAATCTGTCGTATTCTCAACTGAGAAAAGAAATTTTTTTTCCCGATAATACAGTTTGCTCAAATAGGTCACGAATTGCAAATTCGTAGGACCCCACTCTCTACAGTATTTAGGCATTGTGTAAACTTTTCGCGAAGTTGGAGGAAGGCAAAAATATATTCCGGGAATTCTTTAAGCTCCAGTCGGAAGAACAGATGAAAATATTAGAGCAATAAAAAGCATTCCAGATGCAGTTACAGGAGGAAACTTTTAATAAACAAATGCAATTCCAACAAAAAATGGAACAGATGCATAAGGAGTTTCAAAACAAAATTCTGGAAATAACTGAGAAGAGGAAAGAGAAAAATCTACAAAATGATTCTTTCCCAGAGAATACAATATGGAAT